GTTTTTTTATTATTAAAAAAATACTCCGTATATATTATATATATCTGCCGAATGTAGATTTGTAGATACATCTCAGCATTGGTGGCATTCATGATTTCGCCAAGGTGAAGGCTGGGGTGAACCAATGCAAAAAAAAAAGATAAATTTTTACAAATATATTTTCACAATAAAAATGTAAAAAGAATTCAAACTTAGATTGGGCCGGGGCCCAATTGGCCTCTATAGCTCCGCCCCTGAGTTTTTTTTTGATGTGGTTCCGGGTTCGATTGAAGTTTACCAAAACTACCATAGATTAAAACAAAAATGAAAGTAACGAGAACTACATTTATTCAAGAGACCATAGAGAATTTTGAATTAACCTTGTTTTATTTGTTTGAAGTGAATTAAAATAGGAAATGCCATTAATCTATCACTTGATGTTATTAATTTTATTCACGTTTTCACCAAACATGTATTCATACTGTTGGAAAATATAATCAAATGAAAACTTTTTTTCCTTGCTCGATGTTACTTTTTTCTCACATCGATTTTGGAAGCTACGCTTAAGAAGTTAAAACAATATAAAGATAACCTATGGAGTATAATTTTCTACATGTAGAAGAGTATGGGAGTGAGTTTTAATTACCTCAAGCACCTCATGCACATTAATACATTATTTGGTCAATTCGGTTCAAAATTGAAAACGACACTCCCCCCACGGAAGTCCTATGGACAATTCCTTTTACTATGAGGATATTTTTATTTGGATAGTTATAAAAATACGAGAGCAGACATTATTAGACCAGACCAGTTCAGACCAGACCAGCAAATTACAATCCAAGTAAAAACATCATAAGTGAAACAATAATTTTATCAAAAACTGATCAAGCCTTAAATTGAGAACTTGAATGAATTTGTGGTAGTCTCCAGTAGGCTGTTGTCGAATAGAGTTTCTTTGAACTATTTTAGTTTGAGCACAATTCCGAGTCTGACGTGCTGAACTCAATGACTTAATGAGTTTTGAGATCGGTTCAGAATTATCTAACGAGCCAGCTTAATGAGTTTCGAGCTCGAACATGACCCAAATCGATTTTGTGCTTGAATACTTATTCAAGCCGAGCTCAGCCATCATAGTGCTTGGTTCAATTCAAGCTAGAGCCTATCAAACCCTTATGAATTATACAAATTAATTTGAACGTTTTTATGTGATTTTATAAATATAATTATGATTATTAAAGATTGAGTACTTGTTAAATAACTTCAACATTCCTATCAATCATTAAGGCCATACGAAGGGGTTAGGGGGTGAGTGTTACTATTTCAAATGCACTTTGTTGAAGACGATGCATTATTCATGAAGTAACTCCTCCCTGTTGACCTTATTCTAATTGAGTAGCTGATTTAATTCAAACGAAAAGTAGAACACTAAAACGAATAATGAATACTCTTTTAATTAGTCCTTCTATCACAGTGCTCCTAATAAGATACATATTTGTAATGCTATTCTGAAAACATCCTTTACATTTATTAATCTTTTGATATGGTATCCTATTTTGTTAGTGAATAGGATAAGTATTTGTGACCTCCATCGGATGTCATGGCACGTTTTGCACCACGGGGTGACGTTACTACATACTATATCAGAACAACGGCGATAGGAGGAACCTATGGGGGGGGAGCTGTGCCGGCGTCTCAACACTATGGATATAAAGCACTAATGGAAGAAGTTAGTTGTTTAACTATGACTTCTCAACAGTTAGTTGTTTAACTTCTTCCCCAATGCAACTTTTGGAAGAACCATCACTATTTATCAAACACGGTCATATTTCGAGTAAAAAAGTTAAACTCACACTTGAGAAAAATCTCTCAAATTTACCTCATTGGATTTTAACTCAAAACTTCGCGCAAGATCTAAATATTCGTGCGACGTGGTCTACTTGAACCATTCATTCATTACACTTCTAATGTAAAGCATAGGATTGATGTGATCTATAGAATTTCTACTTAATAAGTGACCATAAAAGGCATTAAACTACCATCTAAAGAATATAGCTCCAATGTGGTCTTGGCATCTTAAAAAACGAAGATTTCCTCTTGACTTGAACACAATACTTTCCACATTTGCCATCTAGAATCTAGTGCCGTGGGGTTGCGTACCACAAGCAAATGCAGTAACCAGTTGGGAGGTAGTGATTTACTTTATTCTATAGTATTACAGTTTTTATAAAACTAATTGTATTCTGATAAGTACATGATAGAAAATTTGATAGTAATTTGGTTTTGTTACGCAAATATGTAGTACGGAGGATGTGTTATTGGCATGATTACCCATCAAATTTTCACTTCAGAACTTGGTATAAGCCACTTATATTTAGAGGAGTTAATAGTGGCGTTATGTTGTTCAAAACAAAAATAGTACGTGGTGTTATGTATTTTTGGCACAACCGAATTGAAAATAGTGGTGATATGTATGCTGATATGTAGGTAACGCTCATGGTCTATTTCAATCATTTAATTTCCGTAATCTCAGTTTATTTTAGTCAACTCTTTTTGTGCCGAAATGATTACTGCTGTATACGTAATTCAGTACTGGTTTTGCACCAATCTGTGAAACTTGTCGGTAAGTTTTTTATCAAAACAAAAAATAATTCTTTTTATAATGTATTTTTTAAGCAATTTCCAGACATAAAAAGAAATTCTTACAAGGGTGATCACAGCGACTTTTGCTTCTAACATTTATTTTGCAAGAGATTTGAGCTAATTCGGCTAACACATACTCCAAAATGTCTTAAAAGTTTTATTTTTAAAGTGAAACATAATGAGTTTGATTTATGAACTTTACTCACCTTTTTACTTTATTTCATCAACATATTTTTAAAAGATATTCTATCTATCTCAGACTCATTTATGAATTTACAATGATTAGCCAATTAAAAGTCAACACTTCCCGGATCGTACTCCCTTACTCAACACTCCCTTGATAGTACTAGTATATACTTAGGCCTGTGGGGAACTATAAATTTCATATTCATATCCGTTGAAATTATTTTGGTGCAGATCCGGACCCATTTACCACTTCGACTCCTAAACATATGTTCCAGATTTGGATCCGACAGGTCTCGGATCCGGACCGGGTATATCCGTAAACATATACTATCCTCCGTTTCTTTTTAATCGCAACATGTTGAATTTTACACTATTCATGTGTTCTACTTTGACTACATTTTACGGTATTATTTTACGAAAATTATTTTTTAAAAATGATATTGTTCGATTCATCTCATTACAAATTTTCAAAATCTGATTTTTAATTATTTTTAACTAATAGAGATTAAGATATAATTACGGTCAAAGATGTGCATTGGAAAGTGTGAAATGTTGACCGTTGCAACTAAAAAAGAACAGAAAAGTATAATATATTCCTTCCCTCTCACAAATAAGCTCTATTAAGCTTTATCATTTTAGCTTTTGATAAAGTCACGTGATCACCTTCAATCCATAAATTATTATAAATAATTAAAATTTAAATATTCAAAATTAGAAGTTAGTCTGAATCGCAAAAATGGAATTCAAATTTGATAAAGTTAGAGGGTAAAAGCAATTTGAGTTGATACATGAATATTACATGACAACTCAATTTTGGAACACAGTCAGTAAATTATATAGTACTCCCTCCGTCCCAGAATTAACTTCGGTTTTGACTGGGCACGGAGATTAAGAAAGTGGGAAATGTGTGGTGGAGAGTTGTGCAGAGGAGAGAGAAATGTGTAAGAATGGTTGTGAACCACAAATCCTTTGCTAAAAAAGGAAAGAGGAGATAAATTTGGGACGGACCAAAAAGGAAAGAATGAAGATAATTATGGGACGGAGTACTCCTTATGAATATGTAAAATCTACATATACATAGATAATAAATTACCATAGAAATTTATTAAAAGGGAAATCTAAATTCTAAAATAAAAAATTAATTAGGCAGATCACTGATTTAAAGAATATTAAACCGAGTTTTAGACAATATACTTAAACTTCTCAAGTAAAAGGGAGGGAGTAATAATATGACATGTACAGGAACGCAACTCATGTGTTCTGATTGTGATTCATGTGAAGTTCTCCATACTTGCACTTGGTAATAGGGGTGGAGAAGCATTTTAGCGTTTCAAATTTAATGTTGTTATTATTATGACTTTTGGATCAAAATTAATGTTAATGCGGCTATGTGCAATAATAAAGGTACTCGGGTGAGTAGAGGTACTCGGGCATGGGAGACGATAGTGTGGGATGAAGGTAGTGTTTTTCACAAGGTAGCGGTGAATGTAGGTAATCATAGTGGTTACCAAGCGAAATGAAAGTTGAATATTCGAGCAGCAAACGATGAACGATACAAAACATGTGAGAATAAAGGTGCTAGGGCGAGTAGAGGTACTCGGACATTGGAGACGATAGTGTGGGATGAAGGTAGTGCTTTTCACAAGGTAGCGGCGAATGTAGGGTAATCATAGTGGTTACCAAGCGAAATGAAAGTTGAATATTCAAGCAACGAACGATGAGCAATACAAAACAGGTGAGAATAAAGGTGCTCGGGCGAGTAGAGGTACTCGGGCATGGGAGACGATAGTGTGGGATGAAGGTAGTGTTTTCACAAGGTAACGATGAATGTAGGTAATCATAGTGGCAACCAATCAAAACAAATGTTGAATATCTAATCAACAATACGATGAACAATACAAAACAGGTGAGAGAAGTCATGATTAAAAAACAGCCGGTGAGAGAAATCATGATTGAAACAGATACATTATTAGCTGTCTAGGATGAAAAGTTGGGGATCAAAAGTAAGATGAGAGAAGTCATGATTAAAACAGATACATAATTATTAGCTGTCTAGAATGAAAAGTTGAGGATCAAAAACATATTACTACGTACAACCTTCTAGAGATTTGCTATTTTTTAATGTTTTTAAGTTTGTCCAATTTTGCAATTAATTTCTCGTTATTTCTCTCACTTTTAAACAAATATCATATGCTGTCAAAAAAAAAACAAATATCATATCGTTTTTACTTTTTTATTTCACGAGGAAGTAAAGGTTGATCAAATTTTACGAGGGGAATTAAGTCACAACTCTAATGGATTAAATGAATTCAGCCTAGAAAATAGCCTATTTCAGCCTCCCTCAGGAATAGACATGTCCAAATAGAACGGCCGAGTAATTTTTTCTGAGCAGCCAAAGTACACAATCTGGTTGGTTCTGCAGCAGCTTTGCAGGTAGGCCACACCCTGTTTGGCTGTTTCCCCTTATCCTCATGCGTCCCCCGCCACCACCTCCCCAGTTCCACGCCAATGTAACAGTGAATTCAAACACGCCCAAACAATCCACTAATCAAATCAACAAATTCATGAACAGAAAGGCCATAATCTGGGCAGAGGATCGGAGGAGAAGGATGTTCAGTTCTTCAAATTGGGGAGTTCAGGGGTTGGGTTTCAAAACACATAAATCAAGAGAAGATCGATATATCTGGATGGATATATGAAAACAGATCAAAGATTGATTGTCTATATTTAACGGAATTTAATTCAAGGTTTTGAACAGCTACTACTTTAGAGAAACATATAAACACATACGAATCCTTTTGGATTATACAAACGGCCGCTGCAGAAAATTCGCTATACGCTCTCTCTACTGATCTCCGCCGTAACCTGAGTTGTCCTCCCCTGAGCTCTCCGGAGTCGGGTACTCATTCAGGTCGGGCTTCACCGCCACCGCACGGGGCTGGATCGGGTTCTGCTCCGGGTTGGGCTGATCCGGGCCTGCCATCTGGAGCGCATCAACCCTAGTTCCGACTTCCGCCGCCCTCCTCCGGATGTCCACCGCCGAGAGGTCCGGGACCCATTCCTCATTGGCGAGAAGCTCCGGGAAGTTGAGCTTCGCCGACGGGCCGCGGAGGTGAAAGACGGCGGTGTCGTAAGCTCGGGCGGCGGCGATAGGGGAGGAGTAGGACCCGAGCCAGATTCTGGATCGTTTGTTGGGCTCGCGGATCTCGGCGACCCATTTCCCCCACTTCCTCATGCGAATCCCGCGGTACAGCTTGTCCTGGGCCTGCCGGCGCTTCCGCTTCTCCGCCTCCCTGCCGCCGCCTTCCATCTTCCGAAAGTGAGAAATTCTACTTTTTGGTCCTAAATTAAGGATATGCAGAAAGAGAAAAGGGCAAAGAGAAGGAAGAAAAAGGGAGAATCTATTCGGGCACCATGAAACGCATGCCCTTCGAGCCCAGCTGAGGTATTTATACGGAGGTGATCGCTCTAGATAATATCAACGGCGTAACGTTAAGCTGACACGACATCGAGTTTAAATTTATTTTTTTAAGTACCCGCTTCATAACACAGAATTCGGTAAATAATCGGTCACATTAAAATATTTATTTATGAACTTCTCTCCAGGCGTCCGCTTCATAACATAGAAATCGGTAAATAATTGGTGAAATTAAAATATTTATTTATGAAGTTCTCTATCTAGTCGTCCGTCTCACCTAGATTTATGAGTTGTTTTTGTCCGATTTCGTCTTCGACGAAGTGCAATTTTCTTGTGCGACTTTCGTTCGACTTTCGTGAGGCTCTCTTTTTCGACAATCCTTCATATAGACGAAGTGTAACGTCTATATGAAGGACAAATGTTGTGTACCCCTAGCAGCTGGTGGGGAGTTTCGAACATGTTTTTCATGGTTGATATCAGAAGGTCATGAATCAAGCGTAGGACTATATTATTATTATTATTATTAAAATAAAAAACAAGTAGCTCCAATTAATTAATTTTCACCAATGCTGTTGATTCATATACGGTTAAGCTGGTCAGGAAATTAAAATAATCGTGTGCAATCATAAATAGGGTTTGACCATTTTAACTACAGTGTAGCACCGCTCCCATAGAAGTGATAGAAGTTTTAAAAATACTCCGTGCATTATAAAAAGGTTTCTTTTTTGTTTTAATAAAAAAAAACTACTGACACGTTTCACAGATTGGTGCAAAACCAGTACCGAATTACGTATACCACAGTAATCATATCGGTGCGAAAACCGTTGACTAAAATAAATACAGATACTGATATTAGTAGGTGGTTAGGGAAGGGGATTACAGATATTAAATGATGGAAATAGACCATGAGTGTTACATACTCCCTTCGTCCCAATTTGTTTTGCAAAGTAAACATTTTGTGGTCAACCAACAATAAAAGTCAATCTTCTTTATGGATAATTAATTCAATTTTTAATAATTAAAATTTGCATACTCCATATTACAAAACTACATTAATATCTCTTTAAAGTTGTAAACACCAAATTAGAAAATAATTAAAAATTGACATCCTAATTAGTTGAACAAAACGAGACTGTTTGACTAAGAAAAATCAAACTTGCAACTCTTTATGGGACGTAGATAGTATATATTTCTGGCAAGAGTCAGGACACTAAACGAATTGGACCGGTATAAAAAAAATTGAAAAAATATTAATCGGGGTTTCCCCTCAAAAATGTAGACGGGACCGGAGATATCTAAGTTAATCTGCTCCTGTACGCATCTAAGTTAACTTTTTGGCTTTTCAAACGCGAATTAAACATGTACTAGCGTACATAACACCACTATTTTCCGTTGTACACATAATACACAAGAGAGCCGTCTAATTAATTTGGAGGTCCCGTTCCAAACGTAAAAATGAGGCCCCATATTAATATAAAAGATAAAAAACAATGACTTATACTAAAATCAATTGAATACTCATCAAATAATGTAATAAAAATTCTAAAAATCACTTAATATTTGATTTAAAGTAGCACAATTCATCACTCAATCAATTTGAGTGAAAAATGAGTAAAAGTATGGACAAGAAACTTTATTTTATTGATTAGTATTTTTATATATTGTTACTATGTAATAATAATAACTTCAAACAAAATTGGGGCCCTAGAAATCGAGAGACCCTGTTCTGTAGAACATGTTGAACATGCCAAACACCGGCTCTGATACACAACACCACTATTAACTCGTCTAAATATAAGCGGCTTTTACCAAGTTCTAAAGTTAGTGAAAATTCGATAGACAATATGCCAAAAAGACATACTCCGTATTACATATTTGCATAACAAAATCAAGTTACTATCAAATCTGATTTTGTCTATCATGTACTTATCAGAATACAATTACTTTTATACAAGTAATAACTATAATGCTATAAAATAAAGTAAAACACTACATCCCAACGGGTTACTGCATTTGGTTGTGGTATGCAACCCCACGACACTAAATTGTACGGAGTAGATGGTAAATGTGGTAAGTATTGAGTTCAAGTCAAGAGGAAATCTTAGTAATTTAAGATTAAGATGCCGAGACTACATTGGATCTAAGTTCTTTAGATGGTAGTTTAATGCCTTTTCTGGTCACTTAAATAGAAACTAGTTTTCCACCCGTGCGTTGCACGGGGTGTAAGATACAAATATTATAAATCTAAAAAAATCATTTTACCTCTAAATCAAATTAAAGATTGTATTATAATTTATCACGGGAATGAGAGTAAACATTATTAAATACATAAAAAAAATATTTGGAGTTTAATAAACATACAATTTTACAAATTATTGAAGACTTCTTTGTAGACAACATTTTTTGCGGTCTTTTTTCGATTTCCCTCGTCGTCACATATCACGAACTTCAATCCAGACGGACTCGTCACCCTCGAAACTGCAACATATAACTGGCCATGTGTAAAAACTGGGCGTCGTAGAAAAACGCCCACATTCTCTAATGATTGTCCTTGGCTCTTGTTCATCGTCATTGCATAGCTAACCATCAAGGGGAATTGCCGACGCATGAATGTGAAAGGTAGCCTCACATCTGTCGGGGTTAGACTAATCCTTGGGATAAGGAATTTCTCACCTGCATTAGTTCCAGACATCATCTGTGCTTCAATAATATGTTCACCAAGTTTTGTCACTAAAAGTCGGGTACCATTACACAAGCCGGCCGAATGGTCTATATTCCTCATGAGCATCACCGGTACACCAACTTTTAGCTTCAGCTCGTGACTTGGAACACCAGAACATTTTATGCCGTTAAGGAATTCGGGAGAATGAATCTCCTGAAGGAGCTCATTGTCTGAGGTTGAGGAACACGCTGAATCTGAACTGAAATATGTCTTTTCCTCTGAGTTGTTCTGCAACAACATGAAATCATTGACCTTGTCTACCTCATCAATTGTCGGTGCAAGAATTGCTCTCCCTTCAAGATATGAGATGTTGTTCATGTTCTTCAAAAAATCTGGATAAGTGGCGTTGACAATGGATTCAATGGGATCAGACATTACTGGAACATGAAAATTTTCCGGTATATCAATTTCTGCTTCTCCATCAACGCTCCCTCCCAGAACACCATCACCAATTTGTAGTATCCAATCGGCAAAAAGCTTCAAAATACTTGGATTGGCCGTTTCATTTGTGAAGTTCTTGAGTCTCATGTTTTTTGTTAACTTCAACACCGTGCAATACTGCCACAGATGTGATGCATTCAAAGATGCAAGAACAATATCCTGTCTTGTGCCTTTAGGAATGACAGGCAACACTTGTCTAAAGTCTCCACCGAAAACAATCGTTTTTCCACCAAAAGGCAATTTTGGATTGCCATCATGAGAGCAAGAAAGTATGTCTCTCATACTTCTATCTAGAGCTTCAAAGCAATGCCTATTAAAATTTATATAAAAAGGTAACAATAATACATTAGATTTACAGTATAAAGACCCATTTAAACGCATCAATTATGATGATTAAATATAATCTCTTAAAATGTGTAGTTAGTTCAAAAATGTTAATTTTTTTTAAACATATTTAAAAAAAGAATAAAAGTTACAACTAAATTATAAACCTTGAATATAAGTTAACATGACTAAAATTACTATTGCAACCTTTTTTACAGCATTTTTTTAAATCACAAATATTTAATTATTCTTGACCTTTTTTGGCGCAACTTGTGTAGCTTTATGAATGAAAATTTAAAAGTTTAGTAATTAATATCAATAATTAGAACAATAAGATAATGTAGACTAAATATTAATACTAATAATTGTATTCATAATAATAGTTTAAAACGCAGTTCATATGTTGATGATGATAAAAAACAATATAATAATCAAACTAATTTTATTACGTATAATAAAATAAATATTACTATTATTTTTTGTTTTAATACAATTATATTGTAATTTAATAGAACAGATAATAATTAAATTCATTGTGGGCAAATCATACCTGTGTATCATAGGGGCCTCATCCCAAATAATCAACTTGGCCATTTGAATCAATTTAGCCAATGGACTACCACGCTTTATATTGCAGGTTGAGTCTTCAGTAACATTGATTGGAATAGCAAACCTTGAGTGCGCAGTACGTCCTCCAGGAAGAAGAAGTGATGCAATCCCACTCGATGCAACGTTCAACACTATTTGACCTCGTGATCTTATTGCTGCTGATAAAGTCTTCCATACATATGTTTTTCCTGTGCCACCGTGACCATACAAAAAGAAGACACCTCCATTCGTCTTGTCAACAGATTCCATGATTTTATCGTAGACACTTCGTTGCTCTTCATTCATGTTTTTCAATAATTTTGCATGTGTCTCGGCCATGACAGATTTGTCATACTTCAACTCTTCATGAATTATGGTGTCTTCAATGGAAGGAATATCAGATTCAGGTGGCATTGGCATTCCCACAAAATCTCGTAGTGATCTGCACCTTTTCCTTAACAACTTCTCAATCTCGATCAAGCAATATTTGTTCACCTCATCTGTGCTCAATTGGTACTCTACATACATATAATTTAGTATTTATATTTGTAATATGATAAAAGCTCATGCACGGAAACTCAGTTAGAATTGAATCAATTAATTCAAGTGTGGATTGCTTTGATCTAGGTCATATTATTTCGCATTGTAATAAATGTTTTAAATCATTTAAATATTTAGTTAAAAATCCATTATCATTTAAGAAATAAAAATACATATTCCATTTTAGTTAATGCATTTTAATTCATCAAAGTAAAAGATTATAACAATAAAATATTGATTAATAATATGTCAAGATTTTTCTTTGTAATAGACTAAAATCATATTATAAGAATAAAATATTAATTAGAATTTGTATACATATTTTTATTACAAATATTTGTAATATGATAAAAACTCATGCACGAAACATGGTCAAAATTGAACAGTTAGTTTAGTAACATACCAGGGTCATTGAGGTTCCTTCTAATGTTGTAGAGTATGTCCTCTGAAAAGTATTGCGAGCACTTCTCCCATACCAATTGTGGCTTTGACAACACATCCGACAATAAAAGAGTAACAAACAAATTACGGAGTGCATATGCGGATGCCCAATGACTTGCCTCAGTAATCCCATCTATATATTCCTTATCATCCTTTAGCAACCCACGGGCATAGCAAGCATCCCTAAAGCTGGGAAATAATGTCCCGTTATAAGTGCGCAACTCTTCAAAGGATGTAGCACCTTTAACAACATTCAGTAGCGTCCTCAAATAGAATTTTTCCCCTGCCCCAGGACGAACAAAATACACACGACCAATTGAGAATCCCCTTTTCCTTGGCACCCACTCCTTGGTTTTTTGTTTCCAAGTAAACTTCGTTGGAAATTCAACGTATGTCAACTCTCGTGCCTCTGGATATTTTTCATTTGCCTTCATCCAAGCCAAGAATTTTGTATCTTGAACTGTGCCTTTTCCAACAACAGATTCCATCGGCTCATCCGGGTGATAGTATACTGGTTGCTCGTCTGGCAAATGAAAATTGAGACGTTCCACCGGCACATCCCTGTAATGGATAGGATACCCAAATATTCTCCATGCAGCCTCACATGCTGAGATGTAGCGACAATCGTAGTACATTTTAATCTCATCAACTTGTTGTTGTTTGGAGTTATCCACTGCTTCAGAAAATTCTACTGTGATACGGTCGTCGCCCTTATTTATGTACTTGAAAAGATACTTGACCGACCTTGTTTGGTTACACCATTCAACATTTATGTGTGCACCATACTTCAGCAGCAATGTACGATTATGCGCGACCACGTGTCTATTGTCAAGATCCACATCACCCTTGGTAACACGTCTCCCATCATTGCGTCGTCTATAAACTGGATAACCATCCCCATCAATGGTTGTTTGTTCAACAAAACGTTTCGGAAAGTGCTTTGTGCAAACGTTTTTGTCCATGCATGGCGCTGACTTGTTTGCTGGACCACAAGGACCGTGCATCATAAGTTCTTTTACCGCGTTATAATATTCCGGGTCAGACCTTTCATCAGGTATCTCCGCTGATATAATCTTGTCAATCTCTGAGGGTGATATTCTCTTGCCTTTCTGAGTAACCCATAAGACTATATGGGCATGAGGCAAACCACGCTTTTGAAACTCAATAGTGTAGATAACTGCAGGGAAAAAATGTTTGTTACATTTCAATTATAAATGAAACATACCAACTATTGACATGTATATTTTTTATCTTGTAGTCTGAATATATAAACTACTATAACACATGCCTTGAAAAGAATTAAATGTTGAGATACATAAAAAGAATGTGACAAAATAAAACAACACATTTATATGCTAATTTTTTTTATTTTCAGCGTATTTAAAAATACTCTTAAAATGTAATTTAAATCAAATTGACAAATGTAATATCAAAATTATTAAAAGAAACACATGTTACATTTAAAAGTTGAGTTAGTTGCAATAGATGGAAAATGGTAATCTGTAAGATGTTGTAAATGTTACAATTATTACCTGCTTTGACGTCACCAAATATTTTATTGTGCTTCAAATCTTTTATTAGGAGGTCCAGCTTCATTTTAAATATCCTACAAAGGATGTCTGGCCTGTCTTCTGGATTCAAACCTCTGTCACTAACGAAGCGCACAATCTCTGGCCACTTAGGGTTACATGTGAATGTTATGAACAACTGCGGATATCCTGCCCATCTACAAATGGCCATCGCGTCTTGATAATTTTGCATCATATAACGTGCACTCCCTGTGAAAGAATTCGGTAGCACAATGAGTTGGCCCACCCTTGATGCATTAGTCTCACCCCGACCTACTGCATCAGCCAAGCCACTATATAAGTCACTTCTCAACTCCTTCTGATGCTGACGAATATATCGCAATCGAGAGGATTCTATCATTGTATAGCCATCCACCAGAAATTCTATCAATCCTATGCTCTACACTAGAAGTGTAATGGATGAATGGTTCCAGTACACCACATTTCACACTTAGATTCTACTTATGCGCGAAGTTTTTAATTCAAATCCAAGAAGATGGATTTGAGAGTTTTTTCTCGTGTGTTAGAGTTTTAACTTTTTACAAGATACATGATATTGTTTGACAAATTGTGACGATTCTTCCAAAAGTTGCATTGCGGACTTGAGAGTGTGAAGTCAATTGTTCAAAGACTGATTTCTTGTATGTGGTGGTGTATAGATAGCCATTGGGATTTTAAATGATCATTTGAGGCTTTTTGTCAATGATGTAAGGAGAATTCTTGGGAGCACATGCTTAGTCCCGTGAAGACATAATAACCTGGTGTTAATGATAGAAAAAAACTAATTTGTAAGTGCTAAACACTAAACAAAGAGCATTGAATGAGTAACATGTCCAAAAGAAACCTTAACAGGACAATGGGCAAAACGAGTTGTGTTTACCTATTGGGTAAAACGAAACATTGAAGTGTATGGATTTCGATATAATTTTCTAATGGAAAACTATCAAATAGGTCCTCGAACTTTCATAAAAAAAGTCAATTAAGTCCTTCTATAGGAGACTTTGTCCGGCCGTCGCGATTTGGGGCGGTTCCCGGTGGAATTTTTTGATGAAATTTTTCTGGCATTTTATTCATCAAGTCTAGTTTATTCATACCAAATTTGAGCTAAAACTTCAATCGGGAACACATTCAAATTAATTCTTGAAGATAACTGCGCATTTTTGCGTTCTTGAATTAATCTAAATGCGTTCTCAATTGAATTTTTAGCTGAAATTTGGTATGAGTAAACTAGACTTGATGAATAAGATGCTCAAAAAATTTCATCAAAAAATTCCACCGGGAACTGCCCCAAATCGCGACGGCCGGACAAAGTCTCCTTTAGAAGGACTTAATTGACTTTTTTATGAAAGTTCGAGGACCTATTTGACAGTTTTCTCTTTTCTAATTTTGCTACTTATACACATTTTCTAATACACACATTAGACACATCTTTGTGAGAAAGCTATTTTTCGTGTGTGAATTTCGTTCACAAAAAAGCATGTCTCTAAACATGTCTTGAATTCACAAACAAAACAATAATCTCTCATAAAGGTGTGTATAAACAAAGTGTATACAAATAAAAAAAATCATTATATTAAGGGGATGACTGCAAGCAAATAAAATAATATGACGTACTAGTACATATATACATATAAAATACTTCGTACATGACAAAATTTATCATTTTAATTTCCTTTCAATTCATTAAAGCTAACTCCCACATATAAATTCTGTAAACAAAGAAAATAAATTTGATTTTGGACAGGAAAAATTTAAAATAGAAAGATACATCCAAGATAGAGAGACTATCTTGTTATATACTCCCTCTGTCTCGCAAAGATGTTCTCGGTTTGACTTACACACATATTAAGGAAATAAACTTACCAAAGGGTAAATTTTACTGTTTCGACACAGTTAAGACACTGTTTGACATTGTTTTGCACTGTTTGATACTGTTTTGATGTAGGATAACTTTTCAATTAGAGAAAGGAGAACTTCTTTTTGGGACATCCAAAAAAGTAAAGCGGGAACATCTTTGTGGGACGGAGGGAGTAAGTCATTTTACCGGTGAAACTAAAAAAGGATGAACCCCATCCTTGAGGGCCCGTCAACACCGACCGGACAGCTAGATGGGAGGATATAAATTGCGCTTTGAACCCACTCTAATGGAAATTCGGGATCTCTCCCTTGTGACACTCCCTTCCTACCAGGTGAGCTACGCCCCGGGTACGGGTGAAACTCATATCCTCGTGTAACAAGTTTTTTAATAACTTGAACTGGTGTCCTGAGCAACGATTATATTGTTTAATTTCAATTATAAAATAAGCAACGAATTTCGGGATATGTCATTTTCTTTCAAAAACCATCTTATTCCGTCACATGCTCAATCCTTTTAACAAATAATACTACTTCTTTAATACGCCGTATTGGTTGTACATGTTCGCTCGTTATTAATATAGATTGCAATTTAATGCCTTTTATAGTCTTTTAACAGAAAAAAGAAACAGAACAACAATGTGTACACTTCTAATATAGTCTAGTTGACATAAAATAGGTACATGTACGTGTGGCATTAATCTTCTGTAAGATTAATGTCTTGTATATATGGTCATTTAAGCAAGATCAATAAATGTATTTGTCTAAATAACAAGGGGCTGTATGACAATCACTAGTTTGCTGGTAGATGCTCTCTGAAATAAGTATTGATGAACTTAATTATTTACAAATTAACTGTAAGATATAAATGACTAATAAAACTGCCAAAATATAGAGAGAATGTCAATAATGATATTTACGATTACTTTTCATTGAATGTGTTCTGTTTTAATTAGAGACATTTTCCAAAACAGGACTAAATATGGTTTGGAATTTTAAAATAGAACAGTTATGTTTTCCTTCCCGAAATAGGAGTAAGACGACATTATTTATTGTTATCTTTTAGTCATGACTGCCAAATAGTTGCAGTATCATCCATTCAATATGACAATATTTCTTATAATTAAGGACAATATTTTTCAATCATGACAGTATTTTTCAATAATGATAGTAACGATTTCTATTTTGGGAAGAAAAACTAGTGTTATTTTGGAATTACGACAGTTGTTTACTCCTATTTTTTGTAACAATACATTAAAATGAGGATAAAATAAAACCACTCAAAGGGACTTCTTCAATTTTAGATATTAGCATTAAAAGTTTAAAACGCAAAATCAAAAGGGTCCTTTATCAACTCTAGAAATAGCTAATTGATTATGTCAAAATCATTAATAAAAATCCACAAATGACTTATAGGCCGTCTACCAAACATCCTTAACAAATCTTAAAATAAGGAGAAAATTATTAAAAGTATGACTAAAAAAGAATGATTCCTAAAATATGACTACATAATTTTCTTATTAATTAATGGTGTTTTATGATACGGCCAGCCTTATATTAGCAATCTATTAATGTTTAAGACCTTTTGTTATAGGTAAATTTCTTTAAAGTAAATGATTTATATTTTAATCATATTCGGTTAACTTTTTCTGAATTTATTGGTTGACCTTGATCTCTTTTTACTTCAAAGCGTTACATTTCTTTTTATATAGTTCATATTTGTATAGACTCATAAAATATAGTGGAAAAGTTTATTTGCAAATGGTTATTTCTCAATCTGGTACTTACTTGCTCTCATTTATAACTGAGAGCAAATGGTCGGTGATGAATATTTAACTGATCGATTTATATCACGATGCATATTAATTATACGAAGCACTACGTATATAGCTAAGTTGAGGTTTTTGAGCCCCTAATTAAAGGTTTAGGCTATTTGTATGTTTGACATGACAATTTTTAAAAGCTTTTCAAAAATTAAAAGATCTTTTTTGAGATGCTACGAGGAGTAGCATCTGAGAAAAGCCCATGACTTTTAGTACTAATTAATCTTAACAGCTTGTATACCAAACCGAACTAAATCAAACAGTCAGCTTTTTACCAAACAGCTACCACCTTTTCTTTTTAAGATCTTTTCAGCCACTAAAAGCTAACAGTTATTAAAAAGCTTACAAAAGTATCTTTTCAGCTAGTTGTGCCAAACACACCCTTAATGTACCTACTTCACGATATAGTAGTACCTCTCTTCTCAAAAATAGAATTTCTTTACAACAATTGAATTTAGTTAACATTGCTAATTCTATAATTCTATTGATTTGGATTGTGATAAGTTATCTTGTGTGTGAATGTTTGAAATTTGCTTTGTACGGAGTATATATTATACTAAATGACTACTAATTTCTTAGAATAAATATGCATTGGTTTAACATAATAAAACGAGTATCCTCAAGTTAACAAGTATGCATGTATAAAGGTATCACAGTGTGCAGAGGAAGCTAGCGGTCCAGCTGAGCAGGTCGGTGACTTACTCGCTCTTATGGAAGATCTCGGGTTCAAAACTCAATGGAGTGAGTTTCAATCCAATTTACTCCAGTCCCCCAGACCCTCTTCCCCGAACAACCCTTGGGAGATAAAAAAAGTATCAAAGTGTGCATCTCTAATGATAAAATATTGGATTGTTAATTGTTCTGAATATAATATGTGCATCTTTAATGAATAAAATATTGAATTGTTAATTGTTCTGAATATAAAATCACCGATCTTCATCACCACAACAAAATGTTTACGTACCTCTTACAGGATAAGGTTCAATTTTTTATAGATATCATGAATGAAAGTGATAATAATATAATTAAAAAAGATAAATTTAATGGAAAAGTATAGTAGAATATACTCCCTACAAGGCATGAGTAGCTAGTGTTTTGCAATTTGACTTTACATCTCATGTTTTGAGCGAGATTGAGTTTTCCTTCCCACTGTCAAAATCATTAATATTTGCATCTCCTTCAGTCCAAAAATTGTGAAGGAGTAAGATGCGAAGTCAAATTATTTTATAGTAAAATAAAGTGTTTACATTAATAATTTAAAAATAGGCTACAAAACCAAATATTACACAAAAAAATGTGGTGCAAAGTCAAACTCTATCTTTGCTAATGTAATGTTAAGTTGATGTTTTTAGTGGTGTTGCTCACATATACGAAGTAATAAGGATGTTTTCTTTTGGATTGAAGTTTGCTAGTATGATCTAGTATGGTTCGAACTGGTTAGGTCTGATAAATGTCTGGTCTGTGTGTATTTTATAACTATGAAAGTCTGGTCTGCTCTGATCTGATAAATATCTGATCTCTGTGTATTTTATAACTATGCAAGTCTGATCTGACCTGGTTTGGGATATAATTAAACCCATTCAAAATAAAACATCCTAAGAATATAAGAATGTGTGGGATTGGTAAAACAAGTTAGCAGAAATAATTGGTCATCATAGAGGTTAGAAGGCTTTTTGCAA